ACATAACTTGAAATCAAAATATTATTATAATATTAAAATAATTTATTCCAAAATATATATTTATATATATTTGAAATATAAAAAAAATTAATTTTCAATAAAATAATTAAAAATATTTATTATTTTTTTTAATTATTTTATTTATTATTAATTTTTTTTTAATATCAAAACTGATTTTATGTTTTTTATCTATAATAGTTTATTGATTTTATAAATTATTTATATCTCAAATAATATATTTTTTTAAAAAATATACAAACAATATAATAAACAATCAAGATTTCTTCTAAATATGTTTGCAACCTAATTTAATATTAATTATTAATCTTATACTTCATTAAATTTATTTCATATCACATGTAGAATTTCGTTTTAACATTTTTTTTTAGAATATATAAAATTTTAATGTAAAAAATTGTGAGAATTATATTATTTAAAATCTCTAAAATATATATAATCAATAAATACATATCAATAAATCGCACGTGAAACTAAACCATGAAAACATATTTCAGTATTGAAAATTTATTTTATATAATATTATTTAAATAAATACGTGCAAAAAACATATATTTTTAAAATACAATTCTTTTTAATGAAAAATTAAATACAATATAATATAATATAATAAGATTGAATAAATTATAATTGAATTACCTTTTAACCTTAAAATATGAATGTGACTAAGTGCTGAGTCAAAAGAAAATGTCTTATTCAAATCATCATAAAACATACATTTGAATAAAAAATTAATTGCTTTGTAGTATCTTAAACGATCGATAATTAGCATGTGCACTTAAAAAAGTTGATATTTTTAATCAATTTAATCAAATTGTCAATTCGACTACAGTAACACGTTTACATTTATATACATATAGAACTATAACCTATAGAACTTTCTATATATACTGATAAGTGTGAATACGTACAAACTACATCTATAAAAATGTCTTATCATTAGCTTGTTAAATAGTAAAGATATGCAAAGTTTTTCATTACATCATTAAAATTTATTCCCCTATATAATACTAACGATATATTTCATATTTTATATTTTATACATATATAATCAACTAGACATTAACCAATCAGCGTTCCTTCAAGAAATTACAAATCTATAAATTTTATTAAATAAATAATTTTTAAATAAAATATAAAAATTTTTATCTTTTATATTTTATCTTAATAAAATAAAAAATATTTATACATAAAGTTCATAATAATTATAAAAATAAAAGTTCAAATTTAAGATAATAGAAAAACAATACTTATTTATGTTGGTATGAAATTAGTAAGTGATTTTAAAATTGAGGTATGCAGTTCTTGCATCTTTAGTATAGCATAGTTCAAGTTAAATATTAAACATTATTGACTGTTGATACTAACTTTCGTTAGTATATATAATTTTCTTTATTTATATCAGTCAATTAACAATTTTATACATTTTATATATATATATATTTATAATAATCTATATATATATATAATAATGAAGATTATTTGAAAGTTAAAATTATTAATTTTTTATTGATTTAAAACGAATTATTAATTTATTATATAAATAAAAGTCAAAATTTATATTTATAAAAATATACAATGAAAAAATGGCAGATATTTTAACACCATTTGTATATTGGGCTCAAACAGAACATCAAATTACATTAAAGGTAGAATTGACTGATACTTGGGTATGTAATTTCTAGTATGTGCATTCTATTATTTATAGGTTTGTATAGATCAAACTATACTTTGTAGCGTGTTAAAGTTTCTATGAATGAAAACAAATTAAAGGTTACTGTTTATGGGCAAGGTGCTAGAGGTCTTAATAAATATGGATTTAGCTTGGATTTACATTCATCTATTAATGTTGAGGTAACATGTATATTGTTTAGATAAATTATATGATTATGATTTATATTAGTAACAGTGTAATATATAAATTTCACAAAAGCTATTTTAGAAATGTTTCTTTGATTTCAATAAAATTAGTACATTAATAATCCATATATATAATAATTATAGTCATAATTACTATTCTAATCAATTAATAAAATATATGTAAAGTTTGAAAAAATTACAAAAATAATGTGTGTTGTAATGAAATAATAAAAGCATTTGATTTTCTATTTTTTATCCAAGATTTAAATTATAATATCAAATGTTAAAATGTTTCATATATGAATTATTTTCTGTTCTTATTTATTTTATTTAAAAGTTCAATGCTAATGTCATTTTATAAATTTTATATGAGTTTTATTTATAATTGATTGGATCTATAGTTAAGATTTTGGTTATGATTATTATATATATATTTATCAATATCTTAAATTTTATTAAAATCATTGGATATTATTGAAGCAATCATTGTGAAAAATATATAAAGTTATTTAATGCATGTTTTAGTAAGTTTCATTATACTTTTTATTCCAAATTTTTTTGCGCATTATTATTTATTTTATTTATAATAATATATAATTAGTAATATAAGAAACTTACAAATTCTAAAAAAGATAAAAGATTATTAAATATATTTCATATCAAGTTTTAACTTTTTTTATAAATATAAAAAAAATATAAATAAAAAAAATTAAGTTATTAAATATACATAAAATCATTATTATTGATTTGATTTTAAAAAATATTTTAAAAATAACCAAGATTCATTTATTCATTAAATAACGAGGCAAATTGGTATAATTAAATTAGGATTAAGAGCTTCGATATTTTAAAAATAGTTTTTAAAATTATTTTAAAATTAGTATTTATCAGTTATGAAAAATTATAATAAAAACATAATAATATAATTTGGAATTTAAAAAAAAATAAAATAAATTAGATAATAATATAACATAAAAATAAAAAAGTTGTGATAGATAAATGAATATTTTTTAATATATCCACAAATTTATTGATTAATTTAAATTTTAAATATTATATGAATAATATTTTTGAATTTTTGAAATATAAAATATATAGGTATATTAATTGTTGGATTTAGTTTTTATTTTTCTTTATTTATTTTGATTTATGAAATCATTTTTTAAAATTTTAGATCATTTGAATTAAAATATTAAAATGTTTTTTAACAATAGAGTTCCTTTAGGATTCATGCCCATAAATACACCTGTAATTTAATTATTTATTTATTTATTTCTGTTATTAATCACTATGAATTTACGATATTTTATATCAAAATATGTAATATGTGTACAAAATATATCACATTTATTTATATTTTTAGTTGTAATTTATTATAAAAAAAATTAATATAACATTTCAATGTTTTATCATTTAAAAAGTTTATAATCATCAGTTTATTATCAAGTTTATTATCATTATCACAATTATTAAAAATTCATTTTCATATTTCTTTAATTATACAAAAATTATAACAATTATACAAAATAATATCAAATATTTGAAATAAATATTATTAAATTTAACAAAATCTAACTAAATAATGAAAATATGAAAATAAAGAAAAAATTAATATATCATCCTAAAAAAAAAAAGAAATGATAGAGTTTCATTTCATTTAATTTAAGAAATAATTAAATTTTAGATATCTGCAATGATTTGCAATGAATTTTAAATAAAAAATAGTTCATATCGCTTTATTTTATGATTTATTTTCTTTTAAGAATTAAAGTTAAATATTAAATATTATAAATTTAATGTTAAATATTAAAATTTACTAAATATAATTATTATTATCATTATTTTTTTTAATTTGTTTATTTTTATTTTTTAATAAAAATAGAACATTTTTTTATATTTTAAATATAAATAATACAAATAAATTATTACAGGAAAGTAATTATAAAGTAACAGCTCGTCAAGTTGACTTTATATTGGGAAAAAAATGTTCTGCTTGGTGGCCAAGATTAACCAGTCAACCACAAAAACCATCATGGTTAAAAATTGATTTTGATAAATGGACAAGCGAAGATTTAAATGATAATGAAGAAGAAAAGAGAGATGTATGTAGTGATTATCCTGACATGTATGATAAACTTCATAAAGAAGAGTTTGGTTATAGAAAAGGTATGATTTATTATAAAATGATTTAATATATAAATATATAATAAAATAAATTTTAATACTAATTTATAATTATTTATTTTATACAGAAGATTTCAAAAAAGTATATCTAATTATTTATAATCTTTGTCAATTTGTTGGTTTTATATATATCCTTACTGTAATAGGAATTATGTATTCACGAGATGGGCCAGGTTAGTAGTTGTATGATCTACTTATTTTAAATTTCATAATTTCTAAAGTGATATATCTCATTATTGAATTGTAGCTTCTATGAAAGAAACATATATAGCTGTTGGAAATGCAATGAAATTCATACAACTTATACAATTCTTAGAAGTTATGCATGCATTATTTGATTATACTAAAAGTAGTACACTTGTAACATTTATACAAGTTGGAGGCAGAGCATTTATTTTATTTACTATGATTGAAGCTGAACCACGTATGCAAACAAAACCAGTTATTTTTTATCTTTTTCTTATTTGGAGTACAGTGGAAATAGTGAGATATCCTTATTATATCACACAGTTACTTAAAATAGAAATTTCATTTTTAAAATGGTTAAGATATACAATATGGATGCCTTTATATCCATTAGGTTTTCTTTGTGAAGGAATTATAATATTAAGAAATATTCCCTATTTTGAAGAGACACAAAAATTTACTATCTCTTTACCAAATTCCTGGAATTTTGCATTTCATTTCCCATCATTTTTAAAGATATATTTACTGATATTTTGTTTACCTTTTATGTATATGCTAATGTCTCGTATGAATCAAATACGTTATAAAAAGCTAGGCAAATCTAAGTTGAAAAAAAAATATTTATGATGTAATAAATAATATCAAAACTAAAATATTAGGAAATTCAATTAATGATTTAATTATTAATGATACAATTTATCTTAGAATTAAAGTGAAATGAATAAACAAAAAACTATTATTATAAATATATTTATTTTGAATTTATATTTATATGTTAAGATTTTAAATTTATAAATTTTTTTTTTATTTAGAAAATGTGAAATATTTTATTTTTAATTTATATATTACCTATCTCTATAGCTATAATACAAGTAGAGATTTGATGTATATATAGTATATGATTTTGTAATTAATAAATAAACCAAATATTAATAAAAAATTAATTTTTATTTTCCATTTATTTCTAGTTTATTAAATAGAATTCAACATCAAGAATTAAATGAAACATTAATCTTTGTAAATATAAGTTATTTACTAATTTAAAAATTTTTTTTTAACTTTTTTCATTAATACTTCATTAAAACTCACAAAAATTTAATAGTAAAAGAAAGTTTAGATAATTTTAAATATTTCAATAATTTATATTTATTTAAAACAAGAATGAAAAACATCCTAAAGAATTGTGTATATATATATATATATATTTTTTAAACTTATATTTGAAATTTTTATAAAAAAAATTAAAATGAATATATTGAATCTTAAAATAAATTTATAAATTCATCAAATTTGTTTTATTTCAATCAAATTGTTTCACATAACCTATTACGAAATCACTTGTAATATTAAAAAATATCATAATTGAAATAAATAATTTTTCGTAAGAAAATATAGATATATTCTTCAATAAAATATCATTAATCTAAAATAATTTCTTTCTTGATGCATTATATTAATATAATGTAAAACTTTTGTTATATATCTATAATTTTTATATATTATACCATAGTCAATACAAAAAAAAATATTAAAAAGTTTTAAAATACAACTAATAAAACTAAGTATAATAAATTAATACTTTTTAATTATATTAAATTCATATTAATTATTAAATTAAAAATTTTTAATATAAATATAATCATATATATTTTTTATAAATTTCAATCTTTAATTAAAGATATCTAATTCATAAATCACAATCAATAATAT